TGCTGAGGAAAAAGTGCATGTTGGAATTAGCAACCTTAAAATCTCACAGTCCAAGGCATAGTCACATCACATCTTTAAGCCCCTCCTTCCACATGAACTATTGATTGTGATATTATTATTTTTTGTTAAACTTCAATAAGATTCTTTCTATTGGATTATTAACTTCAAAGATGTAAATCAGTAAAGAATTTTGTTCCTCCACAGATATCTGACACCAGAATTTGCCTGTATACTGTTCATATATGTTGTAAGTCATGACATCATATGACTTTAATTCAAGTCTTAGCTTTTTCTTTAATCTGAATTTGGAGTTCAAGTTTCCTAAATGAAAACAAAGAATCTATTCATAGTAATTAACCAATGCTGTGCCTAAAGAAAATTGAATTTTCTTATGAGGATTAGTCATGATAAATCTTTCACAAAGCATAAGCATTTATCATTTTTTGGACTGTTCTAGCTTTGCTTAAATGGTCCTGAATTGAAATGATGTTAGGAGCCTGGAAGCAATGATGGGTGGGCCCAATAAGGTCTAACGGCCCATTACAGTATCTTTTCACTCAAGAAAAATTCAAATCAAATTAAAAGCACCTCTTTCTTGGAGATTTGTGTTGAGTTATCCTTCAACTTCTATAACTGTGATTTCCACTGCATGAACAAACTTAAACACTTTCTACTGTTTTTCTTACATTCACAGCAGATAATATATTATATCATTTTAATAATTGCCTGAAAAGGTTTTACGTTCCATGTAATTATTTATAATGATTACATAAGATAAATTTACTTTAATATCCTCCTTTCTGGTTTTATTATAAAATATGTTATAAAAAATTATATTTATAAGATATTTCATAGTTTTTATGCATAGATTTTTTTTATTTGCCAGTATTAAATATTACGAGTATATATTATTTAGCAATAAATAATAACAATAATAATAAAATAATTAAAAGGTATTTCTAATAGTGTGTAAAGATATTAAGAAAAAGAAATTTATATCAAAGTAAGATCAACAGTATAAAATGATTATATACCGTGGATGATTAGTATACTCTGTTCAGAATGAACTTTACGATTATTTATATATAAAATATAAATATGTTTATTTCCATTCCATCATTTATTTCATGGGAATTGCTATTTGTATAATAATTTAATAGAATAAAAATAAAATATAATTCATGATATGATTAAAAAATAACAAGAGAATTGTTTTAAATTTGATTTAATTAGTAATTTAGTTTTATATTTATATTTTTTATTTATTTTAGTCTTTATATTTGTTTTCTACTAAATTGAATATTTGTTTTTAAAAAAAGAAAGTTCAATGTAAATTAATGTTAACACCATTTGAAAATATTACATGTTAAAATTTAAATCATTCAAATGTCAAAATATGAATAATTTTTTATCTTGAAATCTCTCCAATTTTGACATATAATATCTTTTAAGTAAAAGATAATCTAAATTTTAACACATAATAAACTTAAATTTTGACACACACAATATTAGGAACATAAAAATTTCAAAGCAAAAGATAAACTTCCTACTTTTAATTGACTAAATTTGTAAGAAAAAAACGAATTAGACTTAAAAAATAAAAAGAGATAATAGAAGAGAGAAAAAATTAAAAAAAATATATATATATTACAAAATAAAAGCTAACCTAGGAAAAAAAAGCTTTGCATTTATTAATTTTAAATATCTCTTGACATTTTTATTACAACATAACTGATTCGTATTGATATAATTTTTTTAGTTATATGTAATGCATATTTTAATTTAATACTTCCGAAAACCTTTTACTTAACTATATAAAATGCATACATTTATTCATTTTATTTATACATCAAATTACCCAATTTTATGTTTATCCATCAATTTAGTTACAAGTATTAAATAGAAGTTTCGATGGAATAGAAAAAACAAAAGCTAAATCCAAAGAAATGTTAGGTAAATTAAACAAGTTTTAACATCGTAATCATGGATAAATAATCTAATGAAAAAGAAAAAAAAATTAAAAATAAAACATTCAATATCCAATAGTTGTGCTTTACTTTACAAATCTGTGAAGTAACATAGTTAAAGGAAAAATTACCAAACATATAAATTTTTTATATATGATCTACTTTAAAATCTAATATATCATAACTTTATCTTTAAAAACACATTATAGACCAAGGAATATAGAAATATTTAAAGCACTTTAAATCTTAATTTCTAATCAATGGACTATTAAGTGTAGTTGCACAATGCAAAATGTAAGGGCCGGTAATAAAATTAATAAAGGGGACTTTGGATTTTATGTGGAGCAGCCAGACCAATCAGATCAAAGTCATATGACCTTAGCAGGAGTCTTTCTCCTCAGCTTTCCACACGGCCAACTTTTTCTTTCTCTCTCTAAAAACTCATCTTCTAAATATTGTTTTGCCTTCTCTCTAAAATACCATCCTGTTGAACCGTTCAATAGGTGGTGCTCAAACATTCACCGCGTCAAGGGCTTCGTAACGGACCAAACGGGTTCTTGTTCCAATCGGTAAGTCACTTTCTCCTTTTCTCCACCGTTTCTAGCACTTAGGACATTGGTATTTTACTGAATGCATGCCACTAGAAGTGTTCTATTTCAAATTTGTGATAATTTCTAGCCTAAAAAGCTAATTCTATGGGTGATTTATAGGATGTCTTTGAATTTTGCTGTGAGGAGCACTATTTAGATCATCCTGTCAAGTAAACTGTGAAGTTTTCCAGGTAAGGGGAGCTAATTATCTTTGTATGAATTTATTTTATACAAATATATGTAGGTTGAATGTTGAACTGGTGTGTTCTTGTGAAGCTGTTCTACTATGTTAATTTTATTGGATAATTATAACTGAGACGGTGGAATTGTGCTTAAATAATTTATGCTTTGGTGTTGAACTGGTACAGGTGGCAATTATGTTTGTAAGTGTCTCTGTTGAAATTAATGTGTTTTGGTTGAAATTGTTCTGATTGGAGGGTTTGGAGTAAGGGCTCTCTGATAGCATGTATATGGGCATGTACTGTTTAAGGTTACTATGAGGGGAAAGGTGATATATATAATTGGGTATTTGATGTCTAGAACGTTGTAGGACAATTTTAATAACTTAGATAATTAAATCATAACTTGTTAAAAGTCTTTCTTTGTTGGTAGGATAGAGGAGTCTTAAAAACCTGAGTTGGCACATCCCTGATCATAGAGCAGCCCGGGCTTGGTCCAGTACGTTGTGACTAGTCATATGTGCTAGCGTCGAAGGTGAGTCTGATGCGGTCAGACATATGAATCCTCTCCGGTGATCAATTGGGGGAAAGTAAGATCTCTATTATGATGAAAATTAGACAAATAGTTTACCAAATAAGAACATGATATAAATTGTTATCATATATATATATGAACGTAAACTGGTGCATGTAGGGGATCTCACTCATTTTTCTTCTTCTGTTTGGATTGATTGATGTTGTTTGACTACCAGGATGTATGTATGGTGTTGTTGTGTGGTTGTAAAGCATATGAATGTGAACTACAATGACGTAATTGAGTATGAAGTGGACATCATGAGATGATTGGAAGTGATGTGTGGGGTGTTGTTGTTGTTCTGTATAACTGTATGGAGTTTTGAACTGGTATGTCTATCCCTACACTCGAAGCACTGTTCATGCTCAAATAGAGGAGAGCAGTGTAAGTGGTGAGAGTAGAGGGAGGTTCTCGTCTATAGTCTTAGAGTTTAGACATAGACAGATGGGGGATTTACCTTGCATAATGTTGGAGAGTGTCAGCTGAACTACGCAAGTGCAAAGACGACCAATAGTTCGACAGTTATACCAATCTGGATGAGTCGTGTGAGTGTTTGAGTCATGGTATAAAATGATATGACTTGATTGTTCTTTATATGTAGCTAAGCACGATGATATTTATTGATTGAACTATATGATTACTGCTTGTTTATCTGCTTCTCTGTTGTGTGTTGTTTGTGTATGTTTTTCTTTGCGATGATCATCCACTTGGATGAGAGCAGATGTTACTTTGAAGTACTCTAAACTGTTTAAGTTTTAAGTTTTGAGTTCTGTCCTTTTGTGAATGACTGTAATATCAGCTACTGAACTACTATTTTATTGTACTTTTTATTAGAATGTGGACATTGTAATTATTATATATTTGGGATACACACAAAACAGTTAAAATAAGAACTTTTACACAATCACATAATATAATTTCCTTTTATATATCAATTAAAGAAATTGTCAATATTTTATCATCAATGCCACCAAGTACTCAATTCTTCCGTAGGTGTCAGAAGAATGAAATTTGTATATATTTATATTGTGTACTGTATACCCTCATGGAATACTGAATATCAGTTGGTGGATCATATATTATTATAAATGCAAGTTTATTAAAAACTTACGTAACTGCATCGTAAAATTATCTACTGGATAAATTTCCAAAAACTTTTTAAAGTAAAGCTTTCATAACTTACCCATTTAACATGTTTTCTTTCAGCGTGAGAATAACATAGCCTTTTTCTTTTTTTGAAAAATTATATTTTGACATTCAACTTTTCTCTTACTTCATTTGACTCTTCTTTTTATTAATAAAATATTATATTTAATAAATAAAAATAAATATAAACAAAATTTTGAAATAAAATAATAATTAATGTTCAAATGGGATAATTCTTATGCTGGAATTAAATATAGGTTCACCAATAAGAAGGAATAAAATTCCTTAAAAAACTATTACACAGGATTAGAATAGTACTTCCTTAAAATTGAACCTTTTTTATTAAATTTAAAGTAAATATTAAATACAAAAGAAAATAATATTTATCATAACTAATAATATAGATTGTAAAATATTAATTATAAGGAATTAAAACTAGTATTAAAACCTGTAGAAGTTTATTCACAGAAAATCTCAAAAATAATAACTGATCAAGAGGAGAACATCATAAGGTTCTCTTTTTGTTCTCCATACAAATGCGGAATGCAATAAACAGCACAATGGTAAAGCTGTTGAATTCATTGCATCTTCCTAACTAAACTCGAACTTTGCCGTAAATTATCCTGAAATACAACTTTTAAACCGAAAGAACTAATGCAAACGGCTAAAAATCTAAATTTACATTAGTAAGTTCAAATTCATTACAAAACCAAAGATGAAGAAAAAAGGCCATATATGTGAGGAAAAAAAACATGATGGTTTCTACCATAGCTATCAACTTGTAATTTTAGTTACTAGCTCCCAGTTATCTCAATTTAATATGAATATTATGATTGCACAGCTTTACTCTGTTTGATACAAGCAGGTGTCTTGAACTCCTGGCATTTGCATGTTGATGTAGCCTCAATTGGCATCACTCTGTCAGCAGATGACTCCATTGGAAACAAAGCTTTATTGCCAACATGATTACCAGCATTCATTTCAGTCAATGGAGCACTTCTAGCTCTCACACCTTCCTTTGGCTGTGCCCTGTCTTTGGAAGTGCAAATGCTTAAGGGTAACTTCTTTAGTTTCACCCTTCCTCTCTTCTTACCCACTGAAGACAAATTTTCTGATTTTTTCTCCTTTGTACTTGACTCTGCTTCCCCATTATCTATTACCTCTACTTGGCTAGATCCATCGTTTCTGAATCCCTTCTTATCTTCCTTGCTTGAACATGCTTCTTGAACGGAGCCTTCAGAATCAACCTTACTCACCACTGCATGCCCATTGTTCATAGATAACAAATCCTGTCCAGTTACCATGTGGGAATCCGAAACCTCGGTCATTTCAAAGCTCGAAAAGTTCTTGGGTTTTTTGTATTTCCTGCCACTTGAGTCTGAATTTGGAGAATTCTTTGAGATTCTTGGAGAAATGTTCATAGCCCGATGCAACTTCCGGGCCAATTCTTCATCCGTCCCACAATTTTCAATTTGTTGGTACTTTTTGTACAAGAAATGAACTGGGAGATGCTTCTTGAGCTTGTTCTTCTTCGGATTTCTTTCCTTGCTACCCATTGCCTCTTCGGAGAAAGAGGCAATCAAATCCAAAGCTCTCTTGGCAGCTGCAACTGCTTTTGCGGCAATCTCGGCCTTTACCTCAGCTGCAGCTCTAGCAGCCTTTGCAGCTTTCACCGCAGCCATTGCTTCAGCCTTCGAAGCCTCCACGACCTCCTCAGGGGTAAGGTTAGGGTTAGTGGGATGAGAACTCAACAAATTCTTAAGCCTGGCTTCAAATTCAACGGAATAGGAAGAAGGTGAAGAGGAAACAGCCTTGGAAACTGTAGCACAGGAAGCAACAACCCGCGATGGAGATGCTGCAGCATCACCATCCGAGCTCTGTTTTTTCAATCCAGCAAGAAGACGCTTACGAGGAGGCAAAAGAACATCAGCATCCAAGTGATTAACATCACACACATTCTCCATACTCCTCTGCTAAAATTTAATTCAATTCAATTCTTCTCAGAAAACAGCGAACAAATCTTCACACACATTCCAAATCCATTCAGAGTGAAATGATTTCCTCTTATCTGTCGATCTAACTTACAAATCCAACTCCACATCAGCGATCAAAAGAAGAATTAAAAGAACTACAAGATTCTCAACAAACCCTACAAGAACCTAGCTAAGATGGTCGCGCTTTGGAAATGAAAATTCAATTCATCACCCATTCCAGCGCTCCAGTTCCTAACCAAAAAAAAAAAAAAAA